TTTGCACTGAAGGGGACGAGCACCACAGGTAGCCTCACTTACAGTGAAGTACGAACAGGAGATTTAACAAGCTACTACTTGTCAGCTCTTAATTAGCAGCTCCCATCAGAGCAGCAGCACCCAACTGCAACGTCGTCTGCTTCAGTGCAAAGTCCAATTCATTAGTTAAATTTTCAGAAGCATCCTATTTTGCTTGGACGATGGTATTTAACAGCTAAACCATGGCAAGATTTGACTACCTTTCAGTTGTATCTGTCTGTAGGGAGAGTTTCTAGCTAAACTTAGTACCTGATAGTATCTGCTAAATTGGATGCAAGCAGCAGGTCAGGAGGTTCCTTGGACTAAATCCCTTGGCATGCTGCAAGGTGATTTTTGTTTATTTTGACTTACAGTGCAGATTTCCATATCCACTACAATTGTAACAGACAGCTGTACAGCATTTGATTTGGCCAAGTGTGTGTCTGATGACCAGTAGCCTTGCTGTTTTGACAGTAAGTCTGCTTTGCCACTGCTGTAACATTGCCGCCACGTGGCAATGCATGCTTCGCTGTGGGCTTTGAGAAGATAAGCCGTGCGGTGTGTATTCACAAGATAAAGCACAGTTTGTTGAGCCTGCTTGTAAGAAATGTGGGTAACATTTAGCTCTTGAGGAAAGTTGTGTACAGTCAAGTGGTATACTTTTTGCAGTGTTGTATGTAGGACGTTCAAGAGGGATTTAAAATACATAATATAGTAAAACCTTACTCGGATTGCACTGAGGAACAGTTAGAGAGTTGAAAATTGAAAAGATCAGTTGTTCGCTTTGGGCCCTGTATGAGTGAGTGTGTGATGAAAGTGTGTGAGCTGGCACATCAGCCACACAAAACTTCCTTTATTAGGAGAATCCGTCTTATATTCCACAGGTGCCATGGATGTCTACAGAACCCGAGACAACACATTCTGCTGATATAAATTCTTAGATTTTTAGCCATCTTTTGTTTGCCAACCTTTCTCCAAAAAGCTGCATCCTGCCATAAACTTGCTAGCAGAACATGACAGAAATGGCATGAAGCAAATGATTTTGTATGGTCAGGGGATACCATAGCTAAACAAGCATGATGGCCAGCAAATCACAAGCGGGAAATTAATGTTTGCTTCAGCTTTTATTTTTTCTTTCCAGGATATTGAAATGAATGCTATAATGAAAGAGGGGGATGAGAAACATCTTCAAGCATTTATATGTAAATGTACATTTCAGTATTGTGGTTTTAAAGAGTCTCTGGAGTTCTAACTTCTTTAAAACACTGCGTGGATGAATCAGCCTCTTTCAGTATTTAACCTCTAAGCCATACACATGGTTTATACATACAGCCTTACGCGTACTCACACGCACTGGATTTTTATGCTTGTTCTCTTGCGCGCGCGCGCGTGTGTGTGTGTGCACCCACACATAAGCAAATAATCAGGGGTGATAAATATAGATTTAAGAATCTAATATGACTCCCATTAAACTTCATTATTTATAGCATGAATGAGTTGTGCATGTTGAAGTACCGGGAGCATTTTCTGTGGCTTAGAAGTAGCACTCCAAAGCATTTTATGAACTATTAACAGTCTGATACAAGTTTTCTTTAAGATTTTATAATAATATAGAAAACTGCTTATATTTTTGCAGGAATG